CCCCACGGGCATGGGGGGGGGGGGTTATTAGTTTTTGTTTTTTTGTTTTTTTTTTACAGTGAGCAGCTATACGCTGCTCACTGCTTACTACACATGCCCCTACTCGCGGTATAGCGAGTAGGGGCATTTAATTTACTAATACTAAGTAATCTTTACTTAGTATTAGTAAATTTGGCTGAAAGACCAATTTAGGTCTTTCAGCCTTTTAGTAGATAGCTCCCTGATACCGTGGGAATTAGGGAGTTATCTACTAAGCGGCTGCAAAATGCAGCCACAGCAATGAATAGGATCAGAGTTTCATTCATTAGAATGAAATTCTGATCCGAATAAAGTGCCGAATTGCGTTCTAAAAGAAACGAACAGACTGTTGTCATTCAGTTAGAACGCAATTCGGCAGTTTAGTGTAAAGTGACAGGAAGCATTGTGGGAACACTGAGGAAAGCTAGGGATCATGGGAAAATTGCTCTGACCAGCGGAAATGAAGCACACTTTGCTCCTCCGCTGGTCAGAGCTGGTCAAGCGGAGGAATCCTCCATAAGGCAAAGAGTCCCTACTTTGTCTTATGATTTTAAAGAAAACTAAAGAAGACAGGAAGAAAAGAAGAACAGATCCCGAGAGAGGGGGAGAAGAGGAAGAGATTGAGGAAAGGTAAGTTCGGCATGACAGTGCCGCTTTAATATTTTTTGTATACATTTTTCAAATGATTTAATATTTTTAGATAAACTTTTCAAATAATTTATCTAGAAATATTTCCATAGACACTGATTGTCACTTGTTAAATCAATTGAAAAAGCTTATCCAAAAGTAATAAATCAAGGTCCACGTAAGCTATGCTTCCAGTTCAGCTTTTTGGCCGTAAATTTGAAATCCATTTATTGGGCCTTTTTATAATTCTTATAGATCAAGTTCAGCAATGTAATTGTTTTTCCAGTATCCATGAGCCAAGAGATCAGAGTGCAGAACAAGCTTGAATAACAAAAAAAATTATTAAAAATTATTGAATCTCCTTGTTACAATGTATTCCACAAAGATATATTTAAATCGACCCAACTATCCCCATGGTGGTTTCTTTAAACTGGTGGATTTTAGTGAGTTGCCATTGAAGTTCATGAAAGTTAAGTTCAGAGAGCATATGCTATTATTATGTGACATTTGCTTAACTGAAAGTATAATGAATACAACTTGGGCCCTGATTTAATATTTTTGGATAGGTTTTTCAAATGATTTAAAATTAGTGCATAAACATTTTAAATGATTTTACATTATGAAAAAAATTGTATAGATATTTTTTATATACCGTATATACTCGAGTATAAGTCGAGTTTTTCAGCACATTTTTTGTGCTGAAAAACCCCTACTCAACTTATACTCGAGTTAATGTCTGTATTATGGCAACTTACATTGCCATAATACAGACCAGGACCGCCAGGCTCATTACAAGCCCGGCGGTCCTGTTGGGGGCTGGTAGTGAGCTGTTGCTTACCTTCCCGCAGCTCCTGTCAGCTCCCTTCTCCTCCGTGCAGCTCCCCAGTCAGAGAGACTTACACTGTAAGCAGAAGGGAGCTGACCGGGGAGCTGCACGGAGGAGAAGGGAGCTGCAGGAAGGTAAGTAACAGCTCACTGCCAGCCCCCCCACACTGCACAGCCCATCCACTGGACCACCAGGGATTCAATATTATTATTTTAATATTATTTTATTTTAATATTATTATTTTATTATTATATTATTATTATTTTAATATTTGCATTTTTTTTTTAAATGGTTTTTTGTCCCCCCCTGCTTGTTGCCTGGCCAGGGAGGGGGGACAAAAAAAACATTTAAAAAAAATAATGCAAATATTAAAATAATAATAATATAATAATAAAATAATAATATTAAAATAATATAATATTAAAATAATAATATTAAAATAAAAAAAATGCCCGCCCCTCACCCAGTTTACACACACTGCACAAACACACACACTGCATTCACACAAACATACACTGCATTATATACACACTGCATTCATTATATACACACACACAACACACAAACACACACACTGCATTTATTATATATACACACACAAACACACACTCTGCATTCATTATATATACACACACACACACTCTGCATTCATTATATACACACACAAACACACACTCTGCATTCATTCTATACACACATTGTAAATAAATATTCAATTAATGTAATTTTATTGGGATCTAATTTTATTTAGAAATTTACCAGTAGCTGCTGCATTTCCCCCACCCTAGGCTTATACTCAAGTCAATAAGTTTTCCCAGTTTTTTGTGGTAAAATTAAGGGCCTTGGCTTATATTCGGGTCGGCTTATACTCGAGTATATACGGTGCATGATATATTTTGATATTTAAAAAAAATTTTTTTAAAGCATATCCAATTATAAACAGACCAGCCATTGTCTTA